GTTTGTGGGTTTCTGTGCTTAATGTTTGGTTACTCGAGGCAATGTGAATCTGAGAATTAAGTTGATTCAGCATTGGTTTGTTGCTATGTTACTTCACTAGACTTATGCACCAACTACATTGGCACCGGCTCGTGATTTTTGGACATTGAGATACACTACAAGTTTAGAAGATGGAAGTCTTGTGGTATGTATTAGGCATAATCCAAAAACTTGTATTAGAACTTTCCCAATCCAAGTACTTGTCTCCATACAAGCAATGTATGTAACAAGTATTTGCTTGCATTCATGTTTCTGGGCTTTAATTTGCAGATATGTGAAAGATCTTTGACGTCTAATACCGGAGGCCCTGTCGGGCCTCCTGCAACTAGTTCTGTTAGGGCTAAAATGCTACCGAGTGGTTTCCTCATACGGCCTTGTGAGGGCGGGGGATCAATCATCCACATTGTAGACCATATTGATCTCGACGTGAGTAAATTTAATTGGTCAATTATTGAGCATCGTTTTTACCTTGATTTCTTCTTTCTGAGCAAACATTTTGGTGCACAGGCTTGCAGTGTTCCCGAAGTCCTCAGACCACTTTATGAATCGTCCAAGATCCTTGCTCAGAAAATGACAATGGCTGTAAGAAATTTCTTATGTTTCTGTCTCGACAACTGGATATTTTGTGAAGTCATCTTACTTTAAGATATCCGTGCAGGCCTTCCGATACATAAGGCAGATAGCTCAAGAAACCAGTGGAGAAATTCAATATGCTGGAGGTCGGCAACCTGCCGTTTTGAGGGCATTTAGTCAGAGATTATGCAGGTAAAAACTCAGATGGTTGTTAGAGATAAATGTAGTACATTGTGCTAACAGTCTGAATCAAGCTTTTGAGCACTCATGATTAAAAATAGGCAGCAAATCTATATGAATATATTAACTAGGCAACCAATCTCAGTAGAGATGTTCAGATAAAAAAAATAGTTGAGCACTCATTATTAAAAATCCTGGATCCCCACTATCAGACAATCAAATGCTTTTGGCTTTGATTTTCTTATATTAGTTCTTGCGAACAAGTCTTGCGACTAATTTGCTATCTGGAATTTTTCATTCTCAATATTTACTACAGGGGATTCAATAATGCGGTTAGTGGATTTATTGATGATGGTTGGACAATTATGGGTAGTGATGGTGTGGATGATGTAACAATCGCTGTAAACTCATCACCAAGTAAATTCCTTGATGCACAATACAACACCTTGTCAATTCTCCCTACTTTTGGAGGAGTACTGTGTGCACGAGCATCAATGCTTCTTCAGGTATGTTAGGTTCAAATACTTATAGGACATATTGCTGTAATAGTATCACATAATTCTAATTGCTTGATGTGGTGTTATTCTCTTTTGCACTTCCCATTTGTAGGATGTTTGCCCTGCTTTGCTTGTCCGTTTCCTTAGGGAGCACCGTTCAGAGTGGGCTGACTATGGAGTTGATGCTTACTCTTCTGCATCTCTTAAAGCCAGTCCCTATGCTGTCCCTTGCGCCAGACCTGGTGTCTTCCCCAGTAGCCAGGTCATTTTACCGCTTGCTCAAACTGTGGAACATGAGGAGGTAAGTAGGTCATATGCTATATTTTGTGATTGTGACTGTTGCAAAAGATGTCAATGTCTCTGACTGATCATATAACTGTGGTTTAATCTGAATTTACTATGTACTTAGTTTCTTGAGGTTGTTCGGCTAGAGGGTCATGCTTTCTCTCCAGAGGATATAGCTTTATCGCGGGATATGTATTTGTTACAGGTTGATAGCTCTGCCTTGCTCGAGATTCACTTTGTTCTTTCTGAGAGTTTTGGGTTCTAATGCTCTTGCTATAACAATGCAGCTATGCAGTGGAGTTGAAGAGAATGCCACAGGTGCCTGTGCTCAGCTTGTTTTTGCACATATTGATGAATCTTTTGGTGATGATGCTCCATTGCTTCCATCTGGTTTCTCTGTCATTCCACTGGAGCCTAAATCAGTTAAGTGATGCCTATTTTGTATCTTACAACTTCAATGTGTTCTGAATTTTTGCTGAAGGAGAAACTTCAAGCTTTTTAGTCACGAGGTTTTTCTGCCTTTCATCTTTTAGAGAATTTTAGATTATTTATGGTGCTTTGAAAAGTTTATTAGCATCTGAAGGCACAATTTGGTGTTTGAGAAGTCACCTGGCATCCGAAAACTGTCATGGATATGTGGATTAGTTTCTTACCTTATTCTTATAGTTTATTACTGTTACTGCTTATGATGCAGGATTCTCCTAGTGCTGCTCGGACTTTGGATTTAGCTTCAACTCTTGAAGCTAGAACTGGTGGGACACGGCCAGCTGGTGAAGTTGAAGGACGCAGTTACAACCATCGTTCAGTCTTGACAATTGCATTCCAGTTTGCTTTTGAGAATCACTATCGAGAAAATGTAGCTGCTATGGCTCGCCAATATGTACGAAGCATTGTAGGCTCTGTTCAGAGAGTTGCTATGGCTATTGCACCCTCTCGACTCTGCTCTCAGCTGACACCTAAATCCTTCCCTGGCTCACCAGAAGCTGTCACTTTGGCGAGATGGATTTGCAGGAGCTATAAGTATGGGTTCTAACTTCTAAGGTCTTTGCAGTAATTCACAGTTATCTGAGTATTGCACCACCAATTAGCGATTCCCGACGTATGCAGATAAATGTTGTTGTGTGTGTAGCATAGTATAAATGAAAGGTTCTCCATACACATCCAAAACTGAGGCCCACTCTGATTCATTTGCACCCTTGGATTAACAAATGTTGAAGGGCTCATCCCTTAATTTGCAACCTGATGTACTCATGGAACACTTTAACTTTGTTCCCAGTTTCTCTACCTAGTTTTACTGATTCAATGTGTTTTCAGGAATCATACTGGTGGAGAATTGCTACAGGTGGAGTCTCAAGCTGCCGGTGATGCTGTTCTGAAGCAACTATGGCATCACACTGATTCAATAATGTGCTGCTCCGTCAAAATGAATGTCAGTAACATCACCTCCCGTTGTTTCGATGTTATGCTTTTCTGATAAGAAAGGTTTCTTCACGATTCATTTTCAAGTTAAATCTGATGATAGCTAAATGGTTTATCTACTTTATGCAGGATTCTGCAGTTTTTTCATTTTCAAACCAAGCAGGACTTGACATGCTTGAAACCACTCTAATAGCTCTTCAGGATATAATGCTCGATAAGATCCTAGATGAAGCTGGTCGAAAGGTCCTCCTTTCAGAGTTTCCCAAGATTATGCAGCAGGTTCGACTACCATCTTACTATGTGAATGTTCTAGAATTCTACATTTAATTAAGTCGGATTATCATGCGGAGATTTATGAACACTTGGAAATATGTTATTCAATACTTGATGAGTTTTATTCATATGGTGCAACGCGTACCTAACCACTCATGTTTCACAAGACCAGGTTTTTGAGATTATTAGCAAACAATTTGGTAATTTCTGATACCCTTTGTGCTTGTAGGGCTTTGCCTATCTGCCGGCAGGGCTATGTGTATCGAGCATGGGGAGGCCGGTGTCGTATGAACAAGCTGTTGCATGGAAGGTCCTTAATGATGACAACTCCAGTCACTGCCTAGCTTTCATGTTCACAAACTGGTCTTTTATTTAAGTTCAAAACATATGATCTGTGTAAGGCAGGATGTGTGGCATTGGCTATCGACTCATTACTAGCCATTTTGTACTAAACAATGTCTTCTTCCAGTGGCGGAGCCAGAAATCCTTACAAGGGGATTCCAACTTGTGACATAGAGCAAAGCAACCTTTGAACCCCCGTCAGTCGTCACCTCTGCTTTTAAAGTTTCCCATTGTCAAGAGGATTCAAAAACATGTACATAATGTATGAAAACTTTGTTCTCTTTATCTTATTTGCGCAGTATAATTTTTCAACAAAGGGAATTCAGTTGAATCCTTATTTGGTTTTCTTGGATGTATTTGGAAAGTTGGTTGGGTTACCAAACCATGAATGATTATGTTTTGCCTAGATATGGGGTCCAACTATTACTAATTGGGCTGCTAGACTAATACTTATTGTTGGTTGTTAAGTTTCTGCTGTTTTTCATTGGTTTCTTGGAGGAGGCAACATTATTACCAACATCAAGTACCTTTTGTAAAAGATGTTTCATCAAAATGTCAAACTAAAGTAGGAAAATTGGTGATTTTTTAGTAACAATGAAAGTGTTGTTTGGCCAACTTGTTTGTGTTTGATGTGATTTTCTTAACAGACCCTATCAGAATTGTGAAATGTCTACAAGATGCTATTATCTTTTGAAAAATTATTGCAAGTGGATTCAGTTGAGTCTTATCATGCAGAAAGCAGGAATATAAGTGTTTTTTTTCCTTTTAATGCCACTTTAACTAGTAATTAAGGATCCCACAGGCCAATTGATTTAATAGTTTTTAGATTTATGTTTGTTTTTTATAAATGAAATATTTGAAAATAACACAATTTTGTAGGATCATATTCTTATATTCACACACAAAAAAATATATGTGCAAATTCTTTATTATAATCAACATTTCACATCACTCAGATGATCCTTGATTCATCATTTTTTATTAAAAAAATCTAAAAAATTGAGAAGGTTAGCAATGTCAAAAATACTTTTGAAAGATTAACTATTCCAATAGAAAATAATGCAAGCTCACAGAAAAATATAACTTTTTTTTTCTTTCCGACTTCCTCCTTCAGAACTGAACACAATAGCATGCCTCTATAAGAACACTAATAAAAGCGATCGTCACATTATCCGATTTACTTGCTAAATTGAAATCAATCCATTCAACAATACTCCTTCAATAGAAATTCAGACAAAAAATATTTTTGAAACACAAGTTACTATTTTTGGAGTTCTTTTGTTTTTTTTTTTGAAAATTCAGACAAAATATTTTTTGAAATAAGCAAATTTTAGGCTTTTTGGGGGGTAAGTGTAGTTTTGCAAACTAGAGAGGCTAGACTTGTAAATTATGGAAGAAGAAAAAACATGTTTATACAAAAATAAAAACTAAAAATAGTAATCGTCTAAAGTAGTGAACCCCACTGAGAAAAAAATGGAGGAAACAGAGAACAAATCCATCAAATCTGCATCCGAAGAGATTTCCAGTGAATTCAAAACCCTAATCAATGCTAAGGATTTGGATTCTTTGAAGCAATTGCAAAACCTCATGTAATTCTCTTAGCTACCTGTTTTTCTCGTTTCTTGGTTTTCATTTGTTGATAGAAACTTTCCTGAGTAATTTCTACTATAATACTGATCTCGAGTGTGCAGTGAATTAAAGGGTCAATTGGGTTTCTTGAATGCTATTTTGTGGTGTGTTTGATGTATCTGAAGTTGTATTAACTTTTTATTCTGTTCAGTTTTTAGGCATTGCCTCATCAGGTTATACAGTTTAGGGTGGACCCAAGATTGGGTTTTTCCTTGATTTAGATAGAGTGATTGGCTTATTATGGTAATTTAGGATACTGAATGAGTTGGGTTGTTCAAAAAATGTTAAATTGATAAACCAGCCTTCGATCACATAGAGGAGTTCTAGCTGTTGTTGGGAAGGAACTCCAAAATGGCTTTCTTTTTACTTGATTTTAAATTGTGGGGTTCCTTTATTGGTGCTGAGTCAAACCAGTTTGGATAATTAAGATAAGAAGTGTTAAGTTTAAGATGGAAATGAGAGGATATGTTGCTTGGTTATGTGATGGACTGATGGATTTGTGTGTCCTCTTTTTTGGAAACCAGAATGTGAATGCATGTATGAGCTCTAATAGTAGTTTCATAACTTAATTCATGTTAGGATTAAATGATGACATTTCCTTTTTTAGATTTCATTGGCTCGCTGAGCCTGGCCTGATAGCTAATATTTTTGCTTATGTTTAGCTCCCTTTTGTTTTGTTTAGAGCTAAGTTGCTCGGACTCGGGTGCCGATCTAGAGGTCGGATCCTTCATGATCTAATTTTTGAGATTCGGGGATATGGATCCATGTATGGATACGGGTGCGGGGATTCGCCTAAAAATAATTAAAATATTTAAAAATAGAGCTATAAAACCTAAATTATGAGATATTATATGGAGAACTTGAGGAGAATCCAAGAGATTAAAGGAAAAGGAGTGAAATAGAAATTCCTATATAAAAGGTATTCCATCTTCTTCAATTTCACCTTAGTTTTTGTATTGATTAAAGAAATCATTAGAACTGTCCAGTCTTTCCCCATCGATTTTGACCCAAAATCTGTTGACCAAATTGGACACGGATCCCACACCCACACCCATGTTGTGTCGATACGGATGCGGCACCAAAAGTGAAGAGTCCGAGCAATTTAGGTTTAGAGTATGCTGTAATGGAGCTAACAGCTTTCCTTTTGTAATCTTTTCATCTTCTTGATGCCAGCAATACAACATCTTACTTCTATCCCAAACAAAATCATGTTTGTGTTTCCAAATTACTTTGGCACTACATGGGTGAATGTTTAGTGGGTGGGGTAGCATTTCCAAAAGTCAAAGTTTCTGTTGTTGCAAAAATGACTATCTTTCATAGTTGTTGAGTCTAGATGTAAATCAATTGTTTTATATGTAAGCAATTAGACCCAGGCATAGCCAAGTCTCTCTCCTTCTATGATTAGCCAAGCTGTTAAAATTAGGATTGGGGAGCTGTATCGTGAATTAATGATACCAATCTTTGAATGCACTTAAGAGTTTAGATTGTCTATTGTATCTGATCTAGGTTAAAGATCATCTGGTCCGTATTTTTATATGTCAAAGCTCTTCGTGCATCAAGAGTTTGGATAATGAAAGTGTCTTTTGAGATATGTTGGCCAACAATTGCCAAGTCTCGAAACATTCAGTACCAATGTGAGACTGCTTTGGGTTTTGTATATTGAACTTGTAAAATCCCCTCTTTGAGTATGTAAAATTTGTTGTGATCTATCCATTACAACAACATAAATCATCAAAAAGCTCATATCTATCATATGATTGGGGTCTTTACCCCTTGGATCAGAAAGAAAGTTCCATACAGCAGTATTGGAATTTAGCAACCTGGTGATTAAGAATGAGAAAATATATGGGAACCAAAAGATCACCTATGTGTCCTAGATGTGTCCTAGATGTTTCCTAGATGTTTTTTTTGTGAGCATATACATATGTGTCCTAGATGTTTTTTTTCTGAGCAACAGGCAGAGACAATCAACCATCTGTTTCTTCATTGCAAGGTGGTTAGACAACTGTGGCACTTATTTACCAGCTTCAGGGGCACAAACTGGACCATGCCACAAAGGGCAAGTCAGGCTATAGAAAGCTGGAACAATGAAGGCAGTGGCAGTACAGACCAAAGCAGATGGAGGATTGTCCCAACAGTGATTTGGTGGACCATATGGAAGGAGAGAAATATGAGATGCTTTGAGAGTAGTAGTAGTCCTTTACACAGGATTAAAATGAACTGCATAATCACTTTTTGCTATTGGTGTAGTTCGGAGTATGTAGATGATCCTATAGCGGTTAGAGATATCCTAGGTCCTTTGTAAGATGAAGTAGGATCTAGTTTAGTTTTGTTTTAAGTACACGCAATTTTATGTAGCTCCATGATGTAAATTTGGGATCCCAGCCTTTAGTGCCAAATATTAATACACAAAACTGTTACCTTTGTCAAAAAAAAGATCACCTCCTTAGTGATCTCTTATAGTGTTCTCATTTGATTGGAGAAATTTTCCTGAAGAAGCTTTATTTCAGTCATTTATCGGGGGAAAAAGAAGAAAAAAAACGAATTTGAGAGAATTCTTATTAGCGTAAAGTTCACATAGGAAACTCCTAATAAAGTTGCTTCCTGGAAGATCATAAAGTACCTAATGTCTTGTTTGGGGCTCTGACTTTTTGTTGCGTTTCGGTTGTTTTTCTATGAAGTCACCCATATGGTACATTCAAAACTTGCTCAAAGCGTTTGAAATCATGATTTTTCATCTGAGCACTAATGCTGTTTGTGATTAGAATGTGGTCATGAATAGTAGCCCGTTCCTGAACTCTTCGATGCTTCCACCTCCTTTAAACTTAACTTTTTGTCATAATTCTGGAAGTGGTTTTTTACCATGTGATTCGTAGGTTCGTTCAGTCCTTTTTGTTCATTGTGTTATTGTCATTCTTGGTGCCTTTTTCATGATTACCTTATGTCTTGTATGCTCAAACTGCAGATTGGGACGGTTGCAGGACAGCAATGCAGTTCTTTCTCACTTCAATGAGTATTCAGAACATTGTTACGCAGAGGTCTCGGCAGATTTCTCTAGAAATACACGTCTCTTAAAATCTATGAAGTCAGACCTTGATTACATATTTCTGAAGTTGAGGTATGATATTTCTTTTCTTCCCTTTTGTTATTCTCTTCTTTCTGAATATCAATATCAGTTTTCAATAAATTCCGAAAGTAGCAGGATTTGCTTGACTATTCTGTATTTCTGCACCTAATAAATCATCTATACTAAATTGCTAGATATAAACTACTCAGTTCATTATTTGAACTTTTCACTAGAATCTACTCAATCTTTTCATCCGGGAATTCTGTGGAACACAAAAGTAAATGTTACTTCCTTGGGATTTTCTTCCGAAAGATGCATTTTTGCTATCAGAGCCACCATCTTCATTTCTTCAATTGTTTCATGTGATACTTTGTGCTACCATTTCTGCAGTTTCATCCAACCTCATAGTCCTCCGGTGAGCATTTTGGATGATGTTGTAATGTTACATAGAGATACCCGGGCATTCTTAGACTACTGGCTCTACTCCCAAAATCGGGGAACTTCTTTGTTTAGTGGTTAATCATTTCCTATTACTTTTAAATGTTTGTTTTCCCTTTTCAGGAACATGAAGGCAAAAATCATATCAACGTACCCAGATGCTCTTCCAGATAATACAACTATTCAGGCACTTGATCAAAGGCCTGATCTTGAAATGCCACAATAAGTAAGTCTGGTAATGTAAATGGTGGGGAAATGTTTGGCTTCTTCTATTTCTTCCATTGCAAATATGGAAAAGTAGGTTTAGGGTGGATAGAGCTCAACTGTTTTTATCTGATAGTTCTGCAGCGGTATATTTCTAGACGCGTTATGATAAGTTGCAGTCTCTCCTGAACAGTAAGTAGTTCTAATTCGATTTGTGCTTTGCATGTACCTTTTTGGTGACAAGGCACTGATCTGTTTATCGTAAGGATTCTGAGTTTCCGATTAAAACTTTGATTGATGACATGAAAGAGAAGATATTTCGTTCTCGGAATGAAAATGTATGCCTTGTTATTATGAAATGACAATTTTCTTATGCTTTTATGGCATTTTTCAACTGCTGAACATAGAGGGAAAACTAGTTGACAATGTTAAATCCAGTGCTAATAGAGCTTCAAAAGAGCATAGGACAAGATCATCAGATTAAAGTTCCTAGATTTCCATTTGAATATTTGATTAGTCGAAATTTTTAGTAAATATTATAACAATCATTGTATTTAAAGTAACAATTCTTTTCGCGATCTTCCTTAATATTCCACCCGAAGAACTCATATGACTTGCCGTCTTCTCATCAATTTGAAAAAACTATGGCAAGAAGATCAACAGGAACCACTAGATTAGCGATAGATGTTGTTATTAATCACAAAATTTGTCCGTTGCTAATTTATTAACTTTACATATATATAATTTATAGTGAATAGTTGTAAAATTAATTTTGATTACCATAATTTTCTAATGTGGAATTTACAAATGACAAAACACTGAGGTGATGAGTGGCATATTATAAGGGCAAATTACAAAAAACACATACTTTTAAGGCAAAATTTTAATTTATCCCTTAAAAGTTTACAATTACAGAAATCCCTCAAACGGATACAATAACATAAGCGCTGATACATTAATCTATTGTGCGAGATACAATAATATAAGCGTTGATACATTAATATGATGCGCGATATACAATAATATAAGCGTTGATACACTAATCTGATGCGCGAAAAAGAGGCATTTTGGAGATTTGTAAAACTTATAGGGGATAATGGTAATAAATAAACTAAAAGGTGAGATTTCTGTAATTTTTCCTTTTATAAATTTGACAATATAGCGAAATGGTAAGATCATATTATAGGAAAGTATAAAATTTTGAGACGTATATTGCACGTGTATATCAAAACATGCAACATAAATAACAATCTTTCTTTCTATTTTTGTTTGTCATTGATTTTTATTTTCTTTAGTAGTGTGTGTGTATATAATCGTATATTGTCACTAATTTTACATATAATAGTAAAATGGAAAAAAATGTTATTTATTCATTATAATTTTTTAAAAATAGAATTTACAAAATGACAATGGTATAGCGAGTGACATATCATAACTCAGTGACAAAAGTTAGGCCTTTCTGTTATTTATATTTCCTAAATAATTTCCACACGATTATTTTAGTTATAGTGATAAAGAATAGATTGTTTAAATGTTTATACAATTGAACTATGCCGACCTCTAATTTTATATTTAGGAGGTTCAAAATCAATATATAAACATAAAAATTCTCTAAAATCCTTACATATATATGATGTAATTTTTGTCGAGAAGGTTTGGGTGAACCCGCTCGACTACCTCTAGATCCTCCCCTCAATTAATACATCTACGTATGTTTTATTCTTTTCACACAATTATTTTGCAGTGAGTTATAGTAAGAGAATTAACAATCAGTTAAGAGAAAATATAATCATGATATATAAACTTATGCTAATGCAATTGCATACTAAATTTGTGGTCAATTATTACCTCATGTTATTTCAGTACTTCATTATTTGAAACAGATTTATCAAAGAGAGATTATATTCTAACAATTAATACAACGAAGTGATAAGATCATACAAAAAATATTATATTTTTGACACGTATATTGCATGTGTATATCAAATTAGGTAAAAATAACAGTGTCTCTTTTAGTTGTTATTTATTATATATATTTTTAGTGTGAGAAATTAAAGTAGATTTTTTATTACAAAATTAAACGGGAAAAGGATCAAGAATACCCCTTAACTTATTTGAAATGGTTTTAAAATACCCCTCTTTCACCTTTTGGTCTAAAAATACCCCCACTTTTGTTTTTGGTTCAAAGATATCCCTCCTTCCACCTTTTGGTCTAAAAATACTCTTAACCTCAATTTAATTAAATTGAATTCTTTACTAATTAGTTAATTCCTTTATTTATTCTAAAAATATTTTTTAAATTTAAATTCAAATTCTTAATATTAACTCATCCCAAAAAAATTAAAATATTTAAGTCTAAGAAATAAAATAAAAAATCTATCCTGTAAAAATAAAAAATAAAATCTCAAAATTCTTATTCTTATTAAATATTAAAATAATATAATGGAAAATTTCAAAATTCATATTCTTCATTTTTACATAATAAATTCTTTATTATAATAACAATTAGAGTGACTATGTTTGTGATATTATAATTGCTATTTACTGTATAGTTTTTGGATTTGAAACATAATACTACTGTATAATTTTTCCACGCTAATCCAAAGCAGAAAATGAAAATAAAAGAAAATATAGTTTGGGACACCAAATTAAATTACTTCATAATTAATGCCACAAGAACGTGTTTTTCGGAATGGTGTAGAAAGTTTTCTTTTCCCTGCCCCTAGCCTCTCACTTCATTTCGTTCTTCTTCTGTACCGTCGCTCGAATGAAGATACCCGATCAACCCAACTTTCCCAAATACCCCCATCGGCATCATTTAAACTAGTTTTGTTATTTAACAATATCAAAATAAGAGAGGTGAACGGTAATATCTAAAATCAAAAGAAAGATTAGAATTATAAAGCTAAATGAGAAATAATTAGGCAAAATGATCTAGTTGACTCTTATACTTGTATGCGTTTGTATTGTGACCCCTTCTACTTAATTATTTGTCAACTGAACTCTTAAACTCAATCAAAATAAGCATTTTAAACCCCTCCAATCATGTGTGTAGCTCACTCTCCTTTACATAAATGACATGTCATATCCACATCATATATATTAATGCCATGTCATAATTATTTTTAAAATTATTAATCAAAATTGTTTAATTAAAGGTAAAATAATAAAAATTTAATTATATTCTTTAAAGTAAAAGCCACTACATTTTCTTCCATTCCCACTGGTTCACGTGAACCAGGCTGTCGCCGTCGTCGCCATTTTTGCTGGCGAAGCCACTCATATTCCTTCCGCCTTCATCTCCGCCGCACATCATCACCATTTTCCTTTCCTCCTCCAACATCCACAAAACCAACAACCTAAGCTACCGCATCAGATCTAGCCGAACACCATCACCATTTTCGCCTTCATCTCCGCCGCACACCATCACCATTTTCGCCGCCATGATTAGATCCTCGCACCCTCACCCACCTCGTTCTCATCTCCACTGACCAGCCGCACTCTCTCTCTCCCTACACTGCGTATCAGTGGTGCCCGACAAGCACCACCAGCGCCGCTCTCTCCCTCCGTCAGTGATTAGTGGACTCAAGGAGGTGCCCAAAATCATCTAAATAGATGAAAATAGATTGTGAAAAAGAAAGAAAAAGGGATTGGGCAGGGGATGGATATGGCTGAAAAAGAGGTTTTTTTTTTCTGCATAAAATCACCAAACATTACCAAATTCTTCAATATTTACATTAACAATTCAGATCATTCATAATCAAAATCTAAGATTCATCAATCGGATTCTCTTCCGGTTCATCAAAATTAGGGTCATTTGCATCAACAACAACAACATCAGCTTCTTCTTTCTTAGAGGAATAACTTTCGTCGCCGGCCCAAGTTAACTTTCCACCATGACCGCCTTTCTTCAGAGATCCACTTATTTTAGGGGCCGATCGCCGGTCCTTCCTCGCATCTTGGCTTGATTTGGGGATAATTTTGAAACTTTTTGGTGTATTCTTCATAGTAACTTTTTCTCAGTGGGTCATATGGTGAAGAAAAAGGGTTTCAATTTTTTTTTTATGTTTATTATTTTACTCTTTTAATTTAAATGTTTTTAAAATTTAAATATGATGTTCACTTGCCTTAATAGGCGTGTGATCTCACTCTCTTGCCAACTCAATCATATTAATGCCACATAAGCATGGTCAATAGTCAGAGGGGTTTGATATATTGTGTTTATTAAGTATAAGGGTTCAGATGACAAAGAGTTAAGTAGAAGAGTTCACAATACAAACGGGTACAAGTATAGGTATCCACCAGACCATTTTGCCAAATAATTATTCTATAATTGTTTCATCATTTATTCTAGTTTCTGATTTCTTATTATTATTATTATTATTATGTTATTTATTAAAAAGTAAATCAAAGAAAATACTCAATATTGATATAATTAAATTTTAACATGAAAAATTAATATAATTTTCAAAATCACTTCAAATAAATTAAAAAATGATTCCACAAAGTAAAACATAAAAAATAGTGTATAAGACATAAAATAAAATAAAGAATTTATTGTGTAAAAATGAAGAAATGAATTCCAAAAATATTATTGTGTTATTTTAATAATAAGAAGGGGAAAAGAATAAATATATTCTCAAATTATCGTAAATGGTATACAAATACCCTCCGTCATACTTTTGGGGGGAAAAAGGACGAATTTACCCCCGAACTTTGATAAATGGTACGTCTATGCCCTCCGTTATACTTTGGGTCCATCTCAGCCCCTGCCGTCCAATTATCGATACACACATGCCCCTCTCACTAACGGCCCCTTCATCCTTTACACATGTTGTAATCCTAATTAACTACCCGTTTGACCATTATTTTTAACCCATAAACTAACCACCCGCCCTATAAACCCATACCCACCCGATTCGCTCTAAATTGAGATGGCCCTTGAAGCTTTGAATTCTCCAACTGGTACTTCAAATCTGCAGACATTTCAATTTGAGAGCAAAGGTCAGCAACAGCTTCGGTACCTTGAGAATTGGACTAAAGGGGAGAGATCTAAGAGGTCACGGAGTATGGATCGCCAGCCGACTAATGTGGAATATTTGGCGCTTTGTTTGATTATGCTTGCGCAGAGTGATGACTCTGTTAGTCAGGTACGATCTCTACCACCGCCGGTGTCAGTGATGAAAATCCACATGCCGTCGGAGAAGATTGATGAGAAGATGTTGTATACGTGTTCGGTTTGTGGTAAGGGAATTGGATCTTATCAAGCTTTAGGAGGACATAAAGCTAGTCATCAGAAACTCATCGCCGGTGGCGGCGAGGGAGATGATCAGTCGACTACCTCAACTACTACTAATGGTATCGGCGGCTAGTCAGTC